TATTAACAAAATGTGTAATTTGATAAATTGGAATGACGAAAAGACCGAAAACAAATATTATTTTATTGTTTCAACTCGCGTCTTAATATTTAATTATGACCCAATTTGCTTATGTGTGCATCATCAAGTAATCGTTGAATAATATGAGAAAAAAACTTAAGGATGACTGAGTTTTCAGTACAAGAAAAATTAAGCTCAGATTTTCTCAAGACAGTAATAAAATCGTGACATCTTTTCTCATCTTTGCGTTTTTTTATAAATATATACTTTTTTAAATTCTTTCCTTCCTTCCTGGCATGGCATTTTCATTTTGTATATCTTGTAAAATTTATGACAGTGCTAGAAGCATTCTTCATCTTGCTGTTTTCTCTATTTGTTATTTACTTTTCGTAGCATTTATATTTGTGTCTTCAACCGCAAAACAAGTCCTTACTTATTAAGTCAATTCATGTTGATGGCTTTAAGGAATATATTTTATTTTTAACATTGTGTGAATTTAAGCCATTTTTCTTGAGTATTCAATAAATTAAAGAAAAAATTTCTTGCTAAGGACATTAAAGCTTCAGATTGGATTATATATAAGTGAAAGAAAAGTTATTCTTAGTAAGGATATACTCAAGCTCACTTATTTGAGTTGTTTTGTTAAGATGTAGTAAAAAGTTTGAACGTTTTGTGCACGTGTCTTTCGGCATGAAAAAATACAATTTTTCTTTCTTTCTTTCATCATAATAAAAAAAATCAATTCAAGCCACTTAAAAACACTTTTTGTGAAGCATTTCACTCTGAATAACATGAACAAGAAATGGCTTAATTTGCCCTTATTTATCACTCTCTTACATAACTAGGCATTCAAGGAAGCATTGAAAAAAATTTTTTTTAAATTTTTGGTACAAAAACATAGGTGTTGTGAAAACAAGTGAAAATAAAATAAAAATCTAATTTAATTCCGTTTGTGGTCTGCAAAATTTTCTGTAAAGACTTTCAATCAATTAAAATTGGCAAAATAAAAAAAAGAAGTTAAATTATGTACTCAAACACTCAATTCCCAACAAAATGTAATCAGTTTGGTGAAAAAAGCAAATTAATTTGTGGGTCAATGAACCCAAGTTTAACGTGTCGTCCTAAAGGCAGACAATGGGGAAGAGCATGTGGACCTGTTTATTTTAAAAATAGCAAATGGATTGAAGAATCTTCTAAGAAAATATGTTTTCCTATAAGGGTTCGAGCAAAATATATACAAAGTATGCCATATGGGTTTGGTATCTACGCAAGAAAATTATATCCCTATGGCGTACCATGTGTAGGAGTTTATTCAATGAAGAAAGCAAAATGTAATTCATATTTCTATCCAATGTTACCAACGAAACCTGGAAAGATTTACAGCAGCTATACTTTCAATACACGAGGGCCACCTTATACCTGTCCACGTCCTTGTATTTGATAACAATATATACAAACATAAATAATGGACGAATTCTCACTGTCTAAACAGAATAAAACATTCAAATGATTGATGAAATTTTTTTTCAGTTAAGAAAGTATTGAATGACATATTGTTTGTTTTATTGGTGTCAAATCTGATTTTTGCCTAGTTTCATCAAACCTAATAATAATTGTGTTGGCGTTTCGCAGGAATATTCTTCGTGCCTTAGGAAGTTTGATAAGTCAACAAAACTTGTTAAATTCTCAAATATTACAATGTAGGATTATAAAAAGTGTTAATATTTATGGATTATCGCAGATTAAAATATTTTAAATTAAAATTCTCGTTCTTAGCTACTGACGAGACTAAAACAATCAATAGAGAATGATATTTAAAGTATTTAAGGTTTTAATATTAAAGATGTTCAAAAATGATTGTTACACATCAAGTTTTTTTTGGTGCTTCTCACAGAAAATTTGAGGTAAAATTAGATAATAGTGATTCTACCTTCAAACTATTCGCACGTTAGAGATTTCAATTGTGTTAAGTACAAATACAGAAAAATTAGATCACATCTTAATTGTCCTTAGTCACACACGAGGATCCCTTGAGGTTCAATCTAGTTATTAAAATTGTGAAGCATTTATTATTATTTCAAGGATATAATTTAAAAATATATCCTTCTTTTTTGAGGAACTCTAGCCATCTATATTACAAACTATATTCTCATTGTAAAAAATGCCAACAATAATTGAATTTTTGCACATCTGTAAATTGTCAACATGTCACTTCTCCGAAGTTGATGTGAAAAGAAAAGTTGATTAAGAACGTGCATCCGCAAAATTCCTGCACGATCGAAGCTTGAATCTCAAGTTTGGTTTTTGTGCTCATTTACTGTTCTATAAACAAAAGAAAAAATAAGAGAAAAATTAATCAAATTCACATTTAATGCATCAAACATTTGTACTTACCTCTTGGCTACATATGTAACCATAAAAGTTGAATAACGATAAGCTGTTCCGATTTCATTAGTATTTAAAATTTATTAAAAACATCTAAACTTTCAGATAATTACAAATTTGTTAAATTTCGTGCAAAAAAACAAATTGGATACTTCTAATGAGAATTTTCTCAATCGAACGCAATTAAATTATTGAATGAAGAGTATTTAAGAAACGTGAAAAAGATATTAAGACGATAAATAAATAAAAGAATATTCATATGTGTAAACGTATATCTGTAGCATATCAGGAACAGAATCAATTTTTAATACTGTGCATAATATCAAAGTAAGAAAATAGTGAGTGGTAACAAAAGGCACATTATCTTTTTTTAAAAAAACAATGCACGGCATACAACATTTGTTTCGACAACACGCAATAGAAAAGCAGACAAGTACTGATAGCTGGCATTCGTCGTACTCTAATGGACGTTTACTGAGTACAAGTAATTCAAACTCTGACTTAAAATCATCACCTTGGAATCAAGGTATTTTTTTTTCTTTTGTTATATCCGAAAATTGAATGTGCTAAAGTGTTTAAATGAAAATTTTTAGATCGAATATTAGAGCAATTACATACAATGGCTTCTAGTCCACAACCAGTTCCAAATTCTGCCAAATCTCCTACTCAAGATGTAAACAGTCTTGGAAGTAGTTACAACTCGAATAGATGGAAACGTTGTTCACCTGACCCTAATAAAATGATGGGTCGAAGTCCAAATGTGTTGGATGTCACTGCCAAAAAAATTTTGTCAACCACGCCATCGCGTAAAAATAATCCAATGGTAGAACGTGTTGGGAGTCCTTCTTTATCAGGCTATCCTGTAAGAATCATTAGTGGAATGTAAATATGTAGCACAAAAGATTTGACTTTTACACATTTTTAGGGTGTACGAAGAGGATCTCTGGATGGCTACTCTCCAGATCGCAATAACGGATACTTTCCACATGACTTAGATGACATTTACGAATACAAAACAGACCATCAATATTTCACGCACACAGGAGCTTCGAATAGCAATGAACGACTATCTATCTCATCCGATGCCCAAAGAAATTCAATTTTTCGTAATTCAAACATGGTCCATTCATTAGATGAATATGCTGTGAAAGATGATTATCGCTTCATACCACGAAATAGATTTGATAATTCGAGTTTCATTCGTAACTTAAACTCGACAATATCGCAAAATAGTGTCGACAGTGGCAATCAGTCAGGTGGATCGTCAAATAATTCAAAAGAGAAATTGTCACACAAAAGTCATCATCATCATAGTATTCATGAAATGATAAAGCATTTTGGAAAGAAAGTTCATATTTGGCCAAGGAATCGTCACGATTCAATTAATGAACATGAAATTGCAAACAGTACTAGTCCGACGAATCGTAATGCTCTCAGTCCAGAAATGGAACATGTTGAAAATTTCCGTTCACGATCAAAAAGTTTAGACGTCAACATGGCACGACGAAAAGCTGATGATTGCGAAACGACATATAGAATTTATAACAAAATCCTCAAAGAAGGTAATAAAATATCGGAATATGACACTATTAGTCATCATTGGTCATTTAAATATTATTGAATAATTCATTTGAGACTAGTTTATTGAATAATGTGGTTGTTTACACCTTTTGAAGTATATTGAATGCAAATCAACTAAACGTGCCTCCAGTCTTAAGTTTATTACGTCTTTTAAAAATTATTAGATAAAGTTCCTTAGTCATATGTGTATTGAAAGAAGAGTTTTCAAATTATATGTCGCGACACTTAATTTTTGTTGTTTAAAAGTTAACATTCAATTTTCATATTCACACAAAATTTTCAAATTTTGTGAATATATTTTAGGAATTTTAAAATGATGTTTAAATTTAAATGTTGAAGGAAATTCAGAGATTTGATTTTTTTATTCCCAGAAATTTAAATAGAAGTGTATAACTTTAATATTTTGAAATAGAAACGTCTATATACCGCCAAAAAAAAATGAAAAAACTTTAATAGGCTCAGTGATTTAAATTATCACTAATTTTGAAGTTAGAGTTAAATGTTCTTCAAATTCATGCATAAAATATAAGAGAATAGGAATTTTATCAACTTAAAAGCAGATTTACATTTTATTGAATGTAATCTGTTCTTATAACGACTTCAAAAATTAGTGTTCATAAAATAAATATAAAAAATACTTTCATTTAGCGTATCATTTAGCGTATCCTGACAATAACTGTATTTGCTCAACATATTTTTACTTGGAATTTAATTAAAAATGCAAAAATGAGAAAAGAAATATTAAATAAGAGTAGAAAATTTACATGTGAATTCAACCGTTTTTAAATACACTACTTGTTGCCTGAGTTATATTGGATGGGAAGTTAAAATTATTTTTCTTCTTAATCCTTTGCAATTTATGCAATAATCGATAAGTGTTAATTTATCAATTAAAAATTAACCTTCCTTGCAAATGTGACCATATAATTGAGTCATTTACAAGTGAAAGAGCCAAACGAAACTTAATTGATTAGTTGTCGTTTTAAATAATTACTTATAGCATTTATTAATATATTTTCTAATCATTTTAATAGGCGCTCATATGAGACGAGCATCTGCTGAGTTAGCCGAAAGGAGAAGAGCTTCGTTCGGTAGCAAAAGTATGTCTACATGATTGATGATTATTAAGTTATTAATTTTTCAAATCTTCTCAATTCACAGTGGGAATAAGAAGCGACGGAACACTAGATCCGCATCATGCTGCTATTTTATTCAGAGATTCACGTGGGGTAAGTTTCGTCTATTAGCCGCCTCGTGGCGTTGCTGTTATTAAAAAGAATTACTTACATTTAATTTTATTTAACTTGATTGAAAATGAATTTCCATTAAATTAATAATTGTTTGTCATGGCATAAAATTAAGATTAATTTATGTGCCTGTGACACCAATAAATGACTGATAATTACTGTATCACGAGATGTTTTCATGTTTATAAGGTTTATTTGTCTAAACATATCAGGGAGTCATCCATCACTAGAGTTCTAAGTTTATAATTTCAATGATAATAACGATAAAATTTGTAGTCAGTAACAATATGCTTGTTATTTTTTTACCACGTTCTTCTTATTTTAACTTTAAAAGGCGATGAACCACTTTCTTACCACCTTTTAGTCATCCCATTCAAAGATTTAATCTCGATATAATCTTCGGTTTTGAAAGATTATAATCTGCACGAGCCTTGATTTTTCGTCATTGACCTTCAAAATAAAAAATGAAACTTCTTTTTATTTATTTTAAATATTTTCATTTCCATTTCATTTCTTATTTGATTTTATGCACACATTAAATGCAAATATGAATTAAAATGAGTGGCATAGCACATTTGTTGAAATGTATGAAGCAACAAAAATGCATGCACACATCCAGACTATGCCCTTTAACGACATCAACAATGCGAGCACAAAGTAGTCAGACCTGTTGAAATAAATGCCGATTTCGAATTTCTTTTAAAAATAACCATGCACATTCTTGATACTGCAAATATCTGTAGATCGAAAAGAAGAAGTCTGGTCTTATGTGTAAACCTCTTGATTGAGAGGAAAGATTTTCGCAAATCTTAAGACTCTAAAAACAAAAAATTATGATTCGCACATTATTACTGAAACAGACAAACACAAAAGATAAGACGTTTTGTAAATATTTGTACAACGATTAACGAGACCAAGTGATGCGAACAGTGGAAAAATTTGGATTATAGATTTATTTTCTCATTTTTTATATCTTTTAGTTCCATCAACAAGCCATGAGCATTGCCGATAGAATGTTTATTCCTCTCTCAAAAAGCTCTTCATATATATATTTATATAAAATGTTTACAGTTCGAGAGCAGTGAGAAGAAATTAATTTTTTTTGTGTATACACTTTACACTATGAAACGCTTTTTAAAAACAAAATCCGAGAGAGGAACAAGCAGCAAAACTTGCCGCTGCTTTAATTCACTTTTATTATGTGTTTTTATCAATGACGGGCTAGTCGTGTTTCTCGCGAAAAGACAGTAAGGTTCATACAAAATAAATTTATGGAATGAAAAAAGCTGTTTAATGCGGTAGTGCTATAGACTCAAGTAAATTGCATTAAAAACAGTCAAAGACGGAAAAGTAAATAGTGATCTAATATGTTTAAAGTGACAACAATAAAAATCAATTGATGTAAATTTTCTTTAATTTGTTTACACAACCAAACACACATTTAGTGACGATGATGATTAATTGACCCACCATGTTGATCTCTTTCCAAAAGATATATGTATATGAAAGGATGCTTCTGATTCTGTTTCTAAAGAATCACAATAAAAAAGTTTGTCTTGTGATAGGCGCAACCGGAATAAACTGAAAATAATAAATTCTAATTAATTTAGATTATGATTTCGTCATGGTATGAGCATATATGTTGGTTGTATAGATGAAAAATATCAATTGCTCGAGAAGCCTTTAATTTGTTCATTTAAATTTACTCTTTGTAATTATTTTATCAAGTTTATAGTCTGAGAAATGGTTTTGCAGATGAATTTTTACAACTTCTTGAAGTGAAAATTTAATATGTTTTTAAAGTTTTCTTCCCTTTTTTAAAAGTCAAAACTTCAGTAACATCATTAGAAAATTCAGAGAATTATGACTTTTTGTGATTTTTCAAAAAATTTCCTGGACAAAAGATTGTCTCGAATTCTTTCAATAGCTGCCAACGAGTGAAGTATTTTGATTATGAATAAGTCGCTTTTTGTGGAATTAAGACGCTTGTTAGGGGAAATCCCATTTTTAATGCACAATCTATGGGAACAACCCCAGAAATCTACACATATGAATAAGCGCTCCAAATGGAGCATTAAAAAATTGCCATTTAAAATAACCGTTTGTAACCGGAAACATTAAAAAATGTTTACCGACATTAAGTAACCTTGAAATAATGTAAAAGTGTTAATCGATCATAAACTGACGGGAGAGTTGACTTACGGCAAATAATCTTATCACGAAGATTACAGAAAAGTTATTAACAATATTTGTATAAATTTTTGGATAAATTATTATTAATAATTACTTTATTGCTTCGCTTTATACCCACGTTTATTACAATATGCAATTCATAATATCTCGTTTGATTGTATTCAAGCGTCAAGTTTTGTGACTCATTTCCTAATCTGATTCTGTAAAACTAAAATCTTGAATCATACAGCAGCCTTGTTGAAATGAAATATGTGTTTATATCGTCTTTAACACACTGTATACTGGATATTTGTAGAGCAGTAATTAGTCGGAATTACTGAAATAACAATCAATAGATATAATTGAGTCAAAATATTTAACAATAAACATCGCATAAGATACGCTCAATCGGGGCTTTATCATTAAAGAAGTAGAAGATGATACAAATCTAGTAGCGCTCTCGCTAGATAAATATAATTAATAAATGGAAAAATTAGATAATCGAAACCGCAAAAATTTACAGCAAGTAGCGTAAAATGAAATACTTTACATCTTAGAAGTGTCAAAAAATTTGACAAAAAATATGGGAATGAGGCTTTCTTTGAGTTTGGTTACCTGAGACTTTCAAAGGAAAAGAGAATCAGATGTACAAAATTTTCAAAAAGGTTCATTAAAGTTTGTTTAATTAAAGTTGGAGGAAGTGGTTTAAACTTTTCTCAAAAATTTACAATTTCTAGATAAATTTGTGAGCCTGCGCTTCTTATTAAATTTCCGTTTCTTTATTCCCATAAATTCTTCATTTAGCATCATTAAGCTTGTTCATAACGACTAATTTAAATTTTGTGACAATTAAAAAAGATGTATTAAGCAAAATCAATTGACAGATCAACTTTCAATGTGTGGAAGTGTGTACATTTGCGCTACAAAGAAACTTCAAATGAACAAAATAGAGGAACCTTCAAAAAAAAGTATATAGAAATTCCAACTTTGTAAATACAAATTCGCATGCTCATACAATACTTGTACTACATACTTACAATACACATGAATTTTTTATACTTTTATTTTTCAACGACCTTCAACTTATGTTTTACATTTTACAAGTTTTGATATTTTTTGCGAGAAATAAATAGTTGAAAGCTTGTAGACGACACTGACTGTGAATCTGAACCACTAAAGAGAAAAATGTTGACAACATTTTGTCTGTTTATTTTGCTTGTATAGCAGATAAAAGATAATTTAATGTGACGAGACAGAAATAGAGTACTAATATAAATGTGTTAATGACTTGGAATATTATGGATGTGATAAAAATAATTTTCTGTGTATTTATATAGTGATTCAAAAGTATATTTGTAAAGAGTAAACAAGAATTCGAATTTTATGAACTAAATTTGTGATGATATTGCTGAAGAAATGTTCAGAAAGTTTTCATTATTTGATTCGAGAGCACCTCCGACAAAGCTCTCAATCACCTCGACTACAACTCATCGGAAGTCATCGATAAAAGGAGCAATAATAAGCTCATTGCAGCGGTTACCAAATTCAACAGAATTCACAACTTTAGGAATACTAGCTTCAACCAAATCAGCAGCTAAGCGATCAAAATCTTTGGATCATTCGAACAACATTGCAATTAGAAATGAAATTCAACGGACAAACATAAATAATACTCACAAGTCATCGACTTTACCACCCACTATTAGAGAGCTACCTCAATCGCCAACGGTCAAGTCAAGTTGGTATCCACCACAAGAAAATTCGTGGAAGAATAGATTGTGGGTTCGGAGAGCACCGATTGTACGTTGCTTACTTACTATTTACTTGCCAAATTTTTGTATAAAGCTTATCTACTGCATAAGGGCAATTCAACGGATTGATTTTTTCAAAAATTCCGTCTTTGAATGAAGATTTATTATTATTCAGCTTTATGCATGCACCAACAACTGGATATACTTATGAAATACGCTGAATTCTATAATTTTGTTGTAATTACATCCATGTACATAGCGTTGGTACAATATTTGTATTTTTGGAGCAATTAAATTTTTAAACAATATGAATCAAAAAATTAATTTTTTCGAAATTTAACTCATCCGTGAAATTGCCCATAAATCAGTTCTTAAATTATTAACAAGTCTTAAATCTTGATCCTGAACAGGGTTGTAATATGTGATGAAACTTTAGACCAAAAAATTTTATATTTAGAAAAACATATTATAATTTGTCAGGAAAGCTATGCGTATATTCTGTAAACATGATATTTTTTGCAAACCTGAACTTGAATTCCAACAAAAGAAATTTGTAATCATGTCTCAGTTATCTGTTTCTATTAGGGGCAATTCAAAAATCATTCCATCGGTTTCGGAGATACAAAGTACTCAAACTATATAATTAATATTTTGTTAAATTCAAACTTAATATCTGGTCCAATTAATATTAACAAACTTCAAGAAATTATTTTTAAGCATTGAATTGCAGTAAAAAAAGTCTTCTTATTGCTTTTCGAGCACTTATTATTAAAATTACTATTTTCAAAAAAAAATGAAATTTTGCAATTTATAAGGCTTTTATATTAACAGTATGGGCAGGATGCCAGAAGAAAAGAAAAACAAAAGTCTATCGTTATTATTGTAATTTCTGGTTTTCTCAAAATTATCTTTTAAATTGTAGGAAAAAAAAGAAATTGCGAAGCATTGAGGAATTTGTGTATTTTGTTTAAGAGATGAAAATTATTGGAAATTCATTTTCACTTTGTGCCTGGCATACATTTACATGTATTAATGATTATTTCACTTATTCCACAGCTACCTGTTGCCGATCCATTTTTAGAGAAAGTCAATTTAACTGATTTAGGTAAGTAATAATAATACAGTTTTATATTAACATTTCTAGACTTTTTTAAAAACAAGGCTTTATCTGTCAACTCAAAGTTGAAATCTAAAAGATCTTGCGCCAGATATCAATTCCAATTCTGGCTTTTTTTTTAATTTATTGCATTTATTGACGACTTACTGTCCGGTAATAATTCACATTTTACACTTTTGTATTTGTATACATACATACATACATACATACATACATACATACATACATATGAATTGGTATTATGTAGGATCAAACTTCTTCAAACTTCCATTCCACTATGGGCCAGAAATCGAAAACTTTTCCGAAAATTATTTTTTTGGTCTAAATGATAGTTCTTTCATTCCCATTTATGAAAATACTTACAAAAGTGGCCAATTCAGCCAAAGTTCCGAGATATGGCTTTTCAAAGTTTTGATTAAGATCATTTTCTCGCCCCACAAAAATTGTCACTACTTTTCATTGGATTGATGAAACTCTTTCAATTTTTTTTTATTTTGTAGCTTTAAATAAGAGCTTTATTTTAGGATAGTAAACATTTAAGTATGCATCTTGTAACTTTATGAATTTTAAGGTTTTTTCAAAAAAGCACGTGTTCATTGTGATTACGTTCGTCTAGGACTCCACTCTTAACATAAATGATGCTGAATCTTTTTTTTTATTGTAGATATAAACAAGATCTACAACTTTTATGAAGATACTATAAAGTTTTAGTAGAGTTTTGCTGATGAAATTAAGTCTTTTCTTCAAAAAAACTGCAATTTTTTGACATAAATTCCCATAACTTTTCAGGATAGCCCAAAGGAGTGGAATTTTTTTACATGCTTTGAAAGCTCTTTGGATGTACTATCAAAATATACAATCAGCTTGAGTTCGGTTACTGAGACAATCTCGAGCAATTTGACTTTGAAGTGTGACCAAAAAAACATTTCAAAACAAAAAAATTTAAAATAAATTTTGTACGTTTTTCAAAATTTTAGTTTTTTGCTTTAGAACAATAGATCTCATCAAGGCGCACATTTTGAGTATAAATATGTCATAGTTTGAACAATTTTTTTACTCAAATTTCAACAAAATCATTTTTATACATTTTTTCAACAAATTTTACTTATTTTTCAATTATTTTAAATCAAAACTTATTTTAAATCTTCTGATTTTGATATTTTTTGAAATTTCTATGTTTTTATGTTAAAATGTCACTCGTAGAGCAACAATTCATAATTTTTTTTTTACTTTAAGGTAATTTTTTTATAATTTTTTGCAAATTACACTCATTTTTCTTATCTTTTTTTATCAAATTTTATTTTATAATAATTCTAAATATTGAAATTTAATGTAATATGCATAAAAATACTCTTAAATATTTAAAGATCATATTTTATCCAATTAACGTATGAATAAAGCTGGAATGAGCAAAGCTTTGATATGTTCCTTTAATCTGAAGGTAATTTTCCTTTCAATTCAGAACATATAAGCATCCAATCAACTATTTTTAATAAATTTCGGTATAAATACTTATTTCCATGCAATTGTAAAGCATAAACTATCACCACGAATTATTAAAATTAAGGACCTATAATGAAAATAGTTTTTAAAAAGGAAAACGCTATCAACTTTTTTCCAATCTATCAAATACATTGTGACAATTTTATCCAATGTTGAATGGTTCCTTTTAGTTTTTTTTACCATATTTCATTGATTTTTCCAATTTTTGTCTTTGCATATACTTTTTTTACTGATCTGTGGGCGCAACGTGATACATTTCAGATCCGTTCTGACAATTTATCATTATAAGGTAATCTTGTAGCTCTCGTTCCTATTTCTCCCGCTACAATTCAAGTTCCTCATCCGTTCCTTAATCCAACGTTGCCAAATATCTCGTGGCTTGATCTCGTTGAAAAAGAACAAATTTGGAAATGGCTGGATTGGAACCGACGACCTTCAAGTTACCATCCCCAATTTGAGCCAAGCGCGTTACTTATTTGACCAGCGAAGCACTTAAATGCTTATATATAGACAAAAATAGATTCAAAAACCATCATTTTGTTTTGATAAATTTCGAAACGATGCAAACTTTACAAAATTTTGTATATATACTTAATATATTTCATACTGGTAAATTCCAGTCACCATTAATGAGTCCAGTCAGATTATGAATATTGAGCCTTCAACTTCCGGACCTGGAAGGCAATAAAATAAGACATCTTTGAAATAGGGACATGGGTCAGCAAAAACGAGTTTCAGGTGATAGTTTATGCTTTACAATTGCATGGAAATAAGTATTTATACCGAAATTTGTTAAAAATAGTTGATTGGATGCTTAAATGTTCTGAATCGAAAGGAAAATTACCTTCAGATTAAAGGAACATATCAAAGCTTTGCTCATTCCAGCTTTATTCATACGTTAATTGGATAAAATATGATCTTTAAATATTTAAGAGTATTTTTATGCATATTACATTAAATTTCAATATTTAGAATTATTATAAAATAAAATTTGATAAAAAAAGATAAGAAAAATGAGTGTAATTTGCAAAAAATTATAAAAAAATTACCTTAAAGTAAAAAAAAAATTATGAATTGTTGCTCTACGAGTGACATTTTAACATAAACACATAGAAATTTCAAAAAATATCAAAATCAGAAGATTTAAAATAAGTTTTGATTTAAAATAATTGAAAAATAAGTAAAATTTGTTGAAAAAATGTATAAAAATGATTTTGTTGAAATTTGAGTAAAAAAATTGTTCAAACTATGACATATTTATACTCAAAATGTGCGCCTTGATGAGATCTATTGTTCTAAAGCAAAAAACTAAAATTTTGAAAAACGTACAAAATTTATTTTAAATTTTTTTGTTTTGAAATGTTTTTTTGGTCACACTTCAAAGTCAAATTGCTCGAGATTGTCTCAGTAACCGAACTCAAGCTGATTGTATATTTTGATAGTACATCCAAAGAGCTTTCAAAGCATGTAAAAAAATTCCACTCCTTTGGGCTATCCTGAAAAGTTATGGGAATTTATGTCAAAAAATTGCAGTTTTTTTGAAGAAAAGACTTAATTTCATCAGCAAAACTCTACTAAAACTTTATAGTATCTTCATAAAAGTTGTAGATCTTGTTTATATCTACAATAAAAAAAAAGATTCAGCATCATTTATGTTAAGAGTGGAGTCCTAGACGAACGTAATCACAATGAACACGTGCTTTTTTGAAAAAACCTTAAAATTCATAAAGTTACAAGATGCATACTTAAATGTTTACTATCCTAAAATAAAGCTCTTATTTAAAGCTACAAAATAAAAAAAAATTGAAAGAGTTTCATCAATCCAATGAAAAGTAGTGACAATTTTTGTGGGGCGAGAAAATGATCTTAATCAAAACTTTGAAAAGCCATATCTCGGAACTTTGGCTGAATTGGCCACTTTTGTAAGTATTTTCATAAATGGGAATGAAAGAACTATCATTTAGACCAAAAAAATAATTTTCGGAAAAGTTTTCGATTTCTGGCCCATAGTGCTTCGACTGCTTAATGTACGAGATCAAGCCATAATTGAGCATTTGGGCAACGTTGGATTAAGGAACGGGTCACGAACTTGAAGTAAAGCGGAAGAAATAAGAACGAGAGCTACAAGATTACCCACGAATGCACTATGGGCCAGAAATCGAAAACTTTTCCGAAAATTATTTTTTTGGTCTAAATGATAGTTCTTTCATTCCCATTTATGAAAATACTTACAAAAGTGGCCAATTCAGCCAAAGTTCCGAGATATGGCTTTTCAAAGTTTTGATTAAGATCATTTTCTCGCCCCACAAAAATTGTCACTACTTTTCATTGGATTGATGAAACTCTTTCAATTTTTTTTTATTTTGTAGCTTTAAATAAGAGCTTTATTTTAGGATAGTAAACATTTAAGTATGCATCTTGTAACTTTATGAATTTTAAGGTTTTTTCAAAAAAGCACGTGTTCATTGTGATTACGTTCGTCTAGGACTCCACTCTTAACATAAATGATGCTGAATCTTTTTTTTTTATTGTAGATATAAACAAGATCTACAACTTTTATGAAGATACTATAAAGTTTTAGTAGAGTTTTGCTGATGAAATTAAGTCTTTTCTTCAAAAAAACTGCAATTTTTTGACATAAATTCCCATAACTTTTCAGGATAGCCCAAAGGAGTGGAATTTTTTTACATGCTTTGAAAGCTCTTTGGATGTACTATCAAAATATACAATCAGCTTGAGTTCGGTTACTGAGACAATCTCGAGCAATTTGACTTTGAAGTGTGACCAAAAAAACATTTCAAAACAAAAAAATTTAAAATAAATTTTGTACGTTTTTCAAAATTTTAGTTTTTTGCTTTAGAACAATAGATCTCATCAAGGCGCACATTTTGAGTATAAATATGTCATAGTTTGAACAATTTTTTTACTCAAATTTCAACAAAATCATTTTTATACATTTTTTCAACAAATTTTACTTATTTTTCAATTATTTTAAATCAAAACTTATTTTAAATCTTCTGATTTTGATATTTTTTGAAATTTCTATGTGTTTATGTTAAAATGTCACTCGTAGAGCAACAATTCATAATTTTTTTTTTACTTTAAGGTAATTTTTTTATAATTTTTTGCAAATTACACTCATTTTTCTTATCTTTTTTTATCAAATTTTATTTTATAATAATTCTAAATATTGAAATTTAATGTAATATGCATAAAAATACTCTTAAATATTTAAAGATCATATTTTATCCAATTAACGTATGAATAAAGCTGGAATGAGCAAAGCTTTGATATGTTCCTTTAATCTGAAGGTAATTTTCCTTTCGATTCAGAACATTTAAGCATCCAATCAACTATTTTTAACAAATTTCGGTATAAATACTTATTTCCATGCAATTGTAAAGCATAAACTATCACCTGAAACTCGTTTTTGCTGACCCATGTCCCTATTTCAAAGATGTCTTATTTTATTGCCTTCCAGGTCCGGAAGTTGAAGGCTCAATATTCATAATCTGACTGGACTCATTAATGGTGACTGGAATTTACCAGTATGAAATATATTAAGTATATATACAAAATTTTGTAAAGTTTGCATCGTTTCGAAATTTATCAAAACAAAATGATGGTTTTTGAATCTATTTTTGTCTATATATAAGCATTTAAGTGCTTCGCTGGTCAAATAAGTAACGCGCTTGGCTCAAATTGGGGATGGTAACTTGAAGGTCGTCGGTTCCAATCCAGCCATTTCCAAATTTGTTCTTTTTCAACGAGATCAAGCCACGAGATATTTGGCAACGTTGGATTAAGGAACGGATGAGGAACTTGAATTGTAGCGGGAGAAATAGGAACGAGAGCTACAAGATTACCTTATAATGATAAATTGTCAGAACGGATCTGAAATGTATCACGTTGCGCCCACAGATCAGTAAAAAAAGTATATGCAAAGACAAAAATTGGAAAAATCAATGAAATATGGTAAAAAAAACTAAAAGGAACCATTCAACATTGGATAAAATTGTCACAATGTATTTGATAGATTGGAAAAAAGTTGATAGCGTTTTCCTTTTTAAAAACTATTTTCATTATAGGTCCTTAATTTTAATAATTCGTGGTGATAGTTTATGCTTTACAATTGCATGGAAATAAGTATTTATACCGAAATTTATTAAAAATAGTTGATTGGATGCTTATATGTTCTGAATTGAAAGGAAAATTACCTTCAGATTAAAGGAACATATCAAAGCTTTGCTCATTCCAGCTTTATTCATACGTTAATTGGATAAAATATGATCTTTAAATATTTAAGAGTATTTTTATGCATATTACATTAAATTTCAATATTTAGAATTATTATAAAATAAAATTTGATAAAAAAAGATAAGAAAAATGAGTGTAATTTGCAAAAAATTATAAAAAAATTACCTTAAAGTAAAAAAAAAATTATGAATTGTTGCTCTACGAGTGACATTTTAACATAAAAACATAGAAATTTCAAAAAATATCAAAATCAGAAGATTTAAAATAAGTTTTGATTTAAAATAATTGAAAAATAAGTAAAATTTGTTGAAAAAATGTATAAAAATGATTTTGTTGAAATTTGAGTAAAAAAATTGTTCAAACTATGACATATTTATACTCAAAATGTGCGCCTTGATGAGATCTATTGTTCTAAAGCAAAAAACTAAAATTTTGAAAAACGTACAAAATTTATTTTAAATTTTTTTGTTTTGAAATGTTTTTTTGGTCACACTTCAAAGTCAAATTGCTCGAGATTGTCTCAGTAACCGAACTCAAGCTGATTGTATATTTTGATAGTACATCCAAAGAGCTTTCAAAGCATGTAAAAAAATTCCACTCCTTTGGGCTATCCTGAAAAGTTATGGGAATTTATGTCAAAAAATTGCAGTTTTTTTGAAGAAAAGACTTAATTTCATCAGCAAAACTCTACTAAAACTTTATAGTATCTTCATAAAAGTTGTAGATCTTGTTTATATCTACAATAAAAAAAAAGATTCAGCATCATTTATGTTAAGAGTGGAGTCCTAGACGAACGTAATCACAATGAACACGTGCTTTTTTGAAAAAACCTTAAAATTCATAAAGTTACAAGATGCATACTTAAATGTTTACTATCCTAAAATAAAGCTCTTATTTAAAGCTACAAAATAAAAAAAAATTGAAAGAGTTTCATCAATCCAATGAAAAGTAGTGACAATTTTTGTGGGGCGAGAAAATGATCTTAATCAAAACTTTGAAAAGCCATATCTCGGAACTTTGGCTGAATTGGCCACTTTTGTAAGTATTTTCATAAATGGGAATGAAAGAACTATCATTTAGACCAAAAAAATAATTTTCGGAAAAGTTTTCGATTTCTGGCCCATAGTGCGAAGTATCTAAACTTCCGAAAAAAAAACAAATTTGGAAATGGCTGGATTCGAACCGACGACCTTCGAGTAACCATCCCAAATTTGAGCCAAGCGCCCTACCTATTCGACCAGCAAGGCACTTAACTGCTGACTAAACTTTATTCCTTATTAAAGATCAAAATTGATTAATTCAGAGAGCTTTGAAAGCTCAAAACAATTAAAGCTGTTATCATTCATTAAGAAAGCAAGAGGAAATGTTTTCTGCGCCAATATAAATAATACAGAAAATCTCGCTAAACTGAATCTTCTCAATTGGATAAATTTAGAAAAACATCTTCAGTGATTGAGTGAAATTCGCCACTCGCGAGTATCGTTGTATTTTAAGGAAAAAACACTGTAGGAAAAGAAAATGTATTCAGACATTCAGTGACGGCCAGTGTCACAGTCAAAGAGAAGAAAATAAACTCACATTTTCCTGAGAGAATTTTCCCTTAATTCGACTTTCTTCTCTAATTTGTTTAGTCTGTTCGTGAAAATTGAATTGATGAAAAGTGTCGGAAATTTGTTATTGTTTTAAGACTAAGAAAAATCGTTTTCCAATTTTTTTTTATTATTCGATACACTAATTAAAGAAAAAGGGAAAAAGAAAATTAAAGTCAAAATCTTTCGTGAAAAATTCACCGAAATAAATTCATTGTGAGAATCAGAAAATAAAAGTTTCATATTTTTATGAGGATTTTGACATTCAATCACCTGTAAAAGCAATTCTTATTATTTATCTATTTTTGCGTATCTGCTACATTCTGTTTCTAAGTGGAAAAAGTTGTAATCGAATCATATCGAGATGAAAACAGAAAAAAAATTCCTGAAGTGAAAATGATTGTTTCGTGAAGAGTCAGAGCTTGGTCAGAGCTATCACATATTATCGGGTCGGTGGAAATGAAGAGAGAAAAATCATTGCTGAAAGTTAAGAAGAAAAGGAGGAATTTTTTGAACTGTTTCTATTTTTATTGTGAAAATAAAGCAAATGATAAAGCGTAGGAATGATTATAAGTTTTTACATACTCATCTAAAGTCGAAAAACAGCTGTTTTGTGCCGCATCAAGTGGTTTATTTTTCCAAATTTTTCTCTTTGAAAATAAATTTTATATCCCATAAACCATAAATTAAATCGATGAATTTTCTAAATGCTTAATAATTTGTGTGACAATTTTAATACATGTGTCTAAACATCTTTTTTGGCCTCATTTTATCATGATTATTATGAGTTTTAACGAGGAATAAGCGAAAATAATTACCTTCTCTTTAAAAAAAAATAAGATATTGATTCTGTTTCTTTAATAAAGACACTTAGAAATCATGTTAAATTTAAATATAGTTATCAGAATTATGATTACTCACAATAAAGATGGTTTATTAATAATAAACCCAACACTGCTTTAAAACAATATTTATGCAAGTCTAGACTAGTCCTGCTCCTAAGCTCAGAACAACTTTTCAATATCCAAAAGTATGCAATTAATCATTTAAAACCATTCAAAACCAATTTATCGAAATTATTTATCCTTTATAAAGCATGATGAAAACATATATTATATTCATCTTTATTCAAGCTACAAAATCTATGAGTATTTGTCAAGAAATTGAATTTGGCATCAGTGAACTGATAAAAAAATTTATGTTATAAATTTAAAATAAATATTTTAAACTCTTTGAGACATGACTTGTATATACCTTCGTCTCACTTACTAATTTACCTTGTCGCCATAAATTAATTGTCTAATTTAAAATAGCGTCTGTGTTTTTGCACTTTATACCTTTTGTTTATTTTATGCATTGCGCCAATCGAATGCAATTTGTCAAAAACAAAAGATCAATTCGAGATGCTTAATTGTCTATTACTCAATTAGCGAGAATCTTAGTGTGATGAATAGTTCATACCTGTGAAAAATTTTTTTTAATTATTTACACGCTTTTTATTGAGTTGCTCTGTTGTTTAATCATACCAATTGCAAGTTCAAGGATAGCATCTTTTCCTAGAAAATTATATACCTATTTCGAAAAAGAGTTTTGAGCTGTAAAAGTATGACAATTTTGTCCTTAAAATAAACGGTTGCTGCAAAATGAAGTAGTATTAAACTAAATTCCGATGAAAATGTCTACTTGTGCCGAAATCATTAAACTTTTTTCTGGTCCTAAATTGTTTTTAAGAAACCTTTCCATCCTTCCTATCTATATCAAAATCACATAAAAATATGAGAGCGTGTTGGAATTTTTCATGAAATGAGTAAATCAAACTCTTTAACAGTACTTCATAGTCAATTGTACATAAGAAGCTTACAAAAATTGATCCTTCAAAAGTTCGACGACGAATATATCCACACAGACGAGATGCTGATCAACAGATGCAACTTGTTTTCTATTCAAGTTATGCAGGTCGATTGGTACTTGGTGGGGGACAATCGAGTTACTGGTGCACAGAGGTTTATCCGATTGAGAGTATTAAAGAGTTTGAGCAAGTCTCAATAGCGTGGAAATCTTTATTGGCACGGTTATTGAAAAAAGGTTTTCTTTATCTTATAAATTTCTGTTTTTGTTGCTTTCTTTGTGACTTTTTTTGAAGTTGTTCATATAATTATGTCCTGTAAAAAAGGGTCTTCAAGAAACTTTATGACATTATTTGTTCAAAAATTACCAATTTCTACGGACGTAATTTATGAAAGACACCCTTTAATAATTTATGACCATAATTAACATTTTTTTCTCCTTATTTTTTTGCAGAAGAAGACGAATCACAGATTTTTGTTAAATTTTTCCGCTTCCACAAATGCTATGATTTAATACCGACATCAGCCAAACTAGTTGTTTTCGATACTCAACTATTAGTCAAGAAGGCATTTTATGCTTTAGTTTATAATGGTGTGAGAGCGGCACCATTGTGGGACTCTGAACAGCAAAAGTTTGTTGGAATGTTAACTATCACAGATTTCATTAAGATTCTAAAAATGTACTATACTTCACCAAACTGCTCAATGGATCAACTTGAGGAGCATAAGTTAGCTACATGGCGAAGTATGAAGGATATCCATTAAATCGTTATCATTGATATTAATGCTTTAACTTCTTTCTTATCCAGATGTTCTCAAGGATCATGTGAATTTAATAAGTATTAGTCCAGATGCATCATTATACGATGCTATAAAAACTTTAATTCATAATCGAATTCATCGATTGCCCGTTATTGATCCATTGGTAATAAATTTATTTCAAGACTATCATGAAGATCCCCATTACTAATCGATTATTATGCTTCACAGACCGGGAATGTCCTGTACATTTTAACACATAAACGAATTCTTCGATTCCTGTTCCTTTATGTAAGTTCGATTGATTTTTATAACTCGACATCTACTTTATTTAATATTTTGCACCTTTCTAGATTAATGAACTTCCAAAACCATCTTACATGCAAAGGACGTTACGAGATTTGAAAATTGGCTCGTATGATAACATTGAGACAGCGACAGAAGACACTAGCATTGTAACAGCACTTCACAAATTTGTAGAGAGGGTAATAAGATTTCATTGATTGAAGTTATGTCATTTTTATTGATATTTTCTTTTGTAGCGAGTGTCGGCATTGCCAATCATCGATACCGAGGGTCATTTAGTCGATATTTATGCTAAATTTGATGTGATTGTAAGTATATCTCTAGCAATACTATCAATAGATGATTGATTAAAAATTTAATGATACGATTGCAGAACCTTGCAGCCGAAAAGACTTATAATGATTTAGGTGTGAGTCTTAAGAAGGCAAACGAACACCGAAATGCATGGTTTGAAGGCGTCCAAAAGTGTAATTTGGATGAAACACTTTTTACTGTGATGGAGCGAATTGTTCGTGCCGAAGTCCATAGGCTTGTTGTCGTTAATGAATTGGAGAAAGTCATTGGAATTATTTCACTATCAGACATTCTACTATATCTTGTATTGAGACCAAGCGGTGATGGCTTAGGTGATTCAGAATCACTAAGAGCAACAGATCCAATCCTTCAGTGTCGTGAACGTGCTGATAGTTTGAATGCACAAGGAATAATATATAATAGAAGTAACGAAAGTATTGAGGAAGAAACAAATCATGAGCTGGAAGCTGAAAATAATGCCGATAAACAAAGTTCTGATGATGGAAATGATACAAATAACAATAGTAGTAGTAATAATAAAATTGAGGATGCAGAAGTAGCAGAAGAAGCATTACCATCATCAGATGAAAAGACTGAAGAGGATGATAATGAGAACAACAATATAAAATCGCAGCCAGAGTCGCCAGTTAAAGACGAAGTGATATGTATTGAGGAGGATGATGAAGAAGTTGTTGGCTTATCACAAATAAACAATAACGGCAGCAATAACTTAAATAATACTTTAAATATTCAACGTGAAGTAGCGATGGTAAGCGAGTGAATAGAACCTAAATATGAAGAGGAATTATACACACATATAAAAAACAGAATAACTGCTCGCTTTAATTTATATATGAAAAATAATTATGAAATTTTGTGGCCTATAAAAAAATTAAAATGAAGAAAATTATGATGTTGTTACATGTGAACAATATTTTTTCAGTTTTTTCCTTTCCAACACTCAAGCTTTATTTTCTTTTTTAAACGAAAAATTCTTAAAATCAGAAACAGAAATTCGAGGAAAGAAATTAACAAAACTATGTGTTTTTATGAGAATTAAATTAAATTATTGATGAGAAACATAAATATAATAAATACGAAAAAAAAAATAAAAGATAGAACTATATTGCATACCAAGGAGATAAAAACACCACAACAACGATGATCATAGTTTTATTTAAAGATTATCATTGAGGTATGTTTCTGTGTTGTTGGCTTTTTATATTTCACTATATTTATAAGACAAGATTAGCAAGTGCCGATGGCCTTGAGGGATGCCGTTTTGAAATTTTAAAGCTATGAACTATAGTAAGCAATCAATTTTTAAAAGGATAAAACTCTGCTAACTTGGACCAAATTTTTATTAATTGTTAAAGATTTTCTATAAATTTATTCAATAAATCTTTTCATTTTTGAAATATTTTTTAAGTGGTTCGCCCTTGATTAATAGCCAATGCAAGAAATTTTTGAATTAAAAGGAAACATTTCTCTTAATTTGTCTTTAACCAAATTAGGTAATTTTTCAATGAAATTTTAATATAAGCCACTCTTAACACAGAGACTAATACCTTCGATTAAGCCAACAGCTTAAAGAAAGTATATATGAACATACATAATTTTGTAGATTTTCTAAATCTATTATCAACATACACATACAAACATAAAGGATGTAGAAAAATGATAAGAAAATAATGCAAAAAAATTTTCCTTAATTTTTGTGATAAATTTTTTGTTCTTATGATTTTCTTTAAAAATTTTTTTTAAAAAATATGAGAAATAAACTGCATGTAAATATTTTTTAATTGTAGACAATGACCATGAAAAGCTTTAATAATTTTTTCTTGTTTGTTTTGAGATAATTTTTGTTAAATTTCGCATCAAAACTGAAAAGGAAGAAAGTCGTGGAAAAGCGAAAAAGCCCATTTTTAAATTAGAATATGAAAAATAATAACTATGTATAATTTATTTCCTTAAAAAATCATTTTTCTAGTTTAACAAACATTGTAGAATTGTCAGAGAAATAAATAAATAAATAAATTTAAAATATCTAAATATAGTCTATAGTCTGACATCTCGCGGCATGAGAGTAAGTTTTGTAAAAAATAAAAAACAATTGCAATTTTTACAGTTGAATAAGAAAAATGATGGATTAAAAAAATTAAAGAAAAACTTAAAAAAAACATCAACAAAAAAAAAGCAAAAACAAATTACAATTAACAATGCGCTAAAAAATTAATAAAGTTATTTAAAAGTTTAAAAACCATACAAAATCAAAAAAAGAATTCTTTTTAATTTTCAGGAAGTTTTATGTTAACAATCACGTAACTTACTTTTCATTTATAGTCCAGGGATTGACACAACTTCATCCTAAGGATTTTTTTTCATCTCTATGCAAAATTCTTGCTCCGATGAAATTTTTGTATGAAAATATAAAAACGATGAAACTGGATAAAATTTTGTATGAGTCGGATGAAAAAGATAAAATCTATTTTCTTTGATTTTTTTTCTTGTTAAAAAAGCAAAATTCGCGAGTAAAATAAATCCTTGTTTTTATCATATTTTGTCCGTGTTTGAGTTTAATTTAGCTTCAAAGAAAATTTTACTCGCTTACTTAAGGGCGGTTCAAAGATAATAATAAGTGAATAAGGGAATAAGTGAGTTTTAATATCGCACCAATTTCGAAACACTGAATAACCCATACAAAACGTTGTTTTTATAACTCTTAATTTTTCTTTTATTGCAAGATCTGGCTGTAAGTCTACTAAGAAAAGTTTTTAAATGAAGCACATAAAAGAAGTATAATATTGTTATCCTTTTGTGTATTATTATTACTTTTATTATTATCATTATTATTATATTTTTTTATTTTCATTATTATTATTATAGTTTATACTTCATTCTTACATTCGTATATATTATGCGCTTACTTATTAATAATTATAAAGCTTACTTATTGGTAAGGAAATCAAAATTGTGTAAGCTTAACAGAGCATGGTATGGACATTTTTAAACAAATTTTAATGTTTTACTGGACAAGAATTGCAATTAAGTATCTAAATACCTGATTATTAAAGATTACGTTTATCTAAACTAGATAAAAAAGGATACATTCAATATTGACTTGAGAACTATTCCATAATATTCATTGTGGAGAAATTCGTTGTTAATCAAGAAATTTGCTGAATTCTACAAATTTATGTAATTAGGTTGAACTTAAAGCTTTATTTGACATTGAAAGTTTATTTTTTTTCTCTATTTTGTTTTAAGCTGTTTAGTATCAGCTGCTGAATTGTTATATTCTGATACTATGAACCCACTTCAAACGGATCAGTTACCAAATTCGTGAAACAATAACACTCAAATGTCTCCACTCTGAACTTAAAATTGTTTTCACCTTTTCTATCACAAGAGATTAAACAATTCGCTGATACAAATTTACATGTTAAAAAGTCTTGTCTTTTTCAGCAAATGCTGGGCAGTTTCGATTGCTTTGCATTTTGTTTGAAAAACATTTAAAATCTAGAAATAATATTTACAAAAATACTTTAACTTGTTATTATAAATTCCGACTCTGATGGATTATTTGACGAATGAGGTCTACGAATTGATTTGGAAGAGAAGGAAAGAAGAATAAGCAGTCAATAAAAAAAATTAAATAAAAAAGATTGAGATGTGTGAGAATAGTTTTCATTAGTTCTTATTGTTCAAGATAGTCTGCAGATGCAATTGTTATGGATTATGTGAGTGTTAGTCTTAATTCTTGATCCTCTGGAACTTGCTTATCGAAAATCAATATTCGTAATAATTTGATATTGATAGACATGAATTAGAAAGCCATAAATTGTGATTAGTTCACAACTCATCTACAATCTTACGTTCTTTGATGGTTTCACTATGATTGGATTCGACATCATCGTGTGGTATAAATGTTACTTCATGTGTTTCTGACTGTGCTGTGTCACGCTTTGATCGTTTATGTACAGCAATTGCTGATGGATCAGGTGATGTAAGTGTGATACGTGAACTACTTACGGGTCTATTTTGGATATATATTTCAGATAATGATGTGAGAAAATGAATTATGTGATAATTACTGTTTACGTAGTCTTTCAGAGACAGAGAGGTAAGTAGTCAGGGGTTTTATTGTGGTCTTTGATTTAATGTTAGATCATACGGAGCAAGAGAACGATTCGAACAAAAACAAAACCGAATGGGTTTTTACATTCATATTCAGTATTGATTCGTAATAGTTTTATATAGTGAATGAATAACAGTCGATGGAGCACTTTGTGTAAAAAATCTATTTGACTCTTCCTGACTACGAACCTGCTCAGACTTTATTGTTTTTATGTTTAATGTTGTTTTCTTCATCGTAATATTATTGAATTAAACATTATGGAAGCTTAATCATAATATTTATGAGTCACTTACCTTGGATCTCTAGCTTGGAAATCAGCACCAACAGTAAGACTTCTTGGTCGCCTAAAATCACATTCTAATTGAAAAGCAGAGTCGCCTGTTGTAACAAGTTCTGGATCATGTTGAATAACGACAATATTTGAGAAGACATCTCCTTCCTTGAGCGTCTGACATTGATTAAAGTTAAAATTCATTTTCACTGCTCGTGCACCTCTTTCTGGCTTAATAAAGCATGGTTCTTTCTGCTTATAAAACGATCCTCTCGTGTACATCACACCTGTAAATTCTTCCTTCGTGAGCAATTCAATTTGCATTGAATCAGCACCGCATTTAAGTTGAACGTTTTGAATTCCTTCGGTTGATGCATCAATATGAAATTTATTTGACAGGTCTTCTTCCCACACATCTATAATAAAAATTTCAATTTTCTTTTACTATTCGGTTGTCTTTGGATTTTTATGGCATTAAGCCTTGAAATTGGTGTTCACTTGTAATGTTTTTAGATAGAACTTAATTTTTTATTTTGATTTTTCTATTTTTTTTTAGATTCTTACATCTCTTATCTTAATATAGGAACCAAACTTGATTCCCCGAGGATTCGTTAAATTTAAGTCCATGTTGGCTTAAGTTTTTTTGAAAATTTAACATTTTTAAACGTTTTGGTACATATTTGAATATTAGCTTGAACAATGAAGATCTCTAGGGTCGGCCTTCTGCTATTTTGGTTTTTATTTCTTAGATATACTCTTTATAGGCTATTGATAAACCTCTTCTAGACCAAATGACATTCTATAAAAATCCAGTTTTTGATAAACATCATGACCAAACTATCTTCATCTTAAGAATCTTTGCAAAAAGCATATGTTAAGTCAACAACAATGAGCGTCGGCGCATATGAATATATATGTAATCATCGTGAAGGTCAGATGATTGTTTCTCGACATTATCTTCATCGCATTTAATACCAAACCCTTTTGAATGGTCATTAACACTTTACAGTTTCGCTCAAAATCGATTATACCTTCATAAAATATGTTTTCAAGTTCAAATTTTCGCTATCGCTTTTTCGTTCCGCTTCCGAATTTCAAAAGGAAAAATAATTTTTTGGTATAGAAAAATTGATTTTCACTTTCTAAATTGACCACATTAAGTAATAGGGGTAATAACAGGTGAGTGATAAGCGGAATAATGATTACATTATAGAAAAAAAAATATTAAATTTACCACAACATGCAATTGTACATCCAACATATATTTTTAATTCCTAATAACATTAATAAGTCATTATTTACTCATGCATAAAAAATTGCTATTAAAATTTTACAAATTAATGAAAGGATTGCGTAATTGGTATTAAAAACA